ACGCCCGCCCCGCGCCCGACACGCCCACCGCCCGCGCCCCGCCCCCCAGGACGGCACCGTCCACTTCTCCGAGCTTCTCATCCTCGAGAAGCCGCCCGAGATGTCAAAGAAGAAGCGCAAGAAGCCCGAGGACAACCTGGCCGACGGATCGATGAGTCAGCAGCCGGCCCTCGACGGCAACCAGTCCTCAAACTACCGCATCATGTTCTCGCTCTACCGCCGCTTCGAGCCGGCCGACGGCGCCGCGCCCGCCGTGGACCCGGCCGCCGCCGCGGCGGACCCGTCGGGCGCGCCCGCCGCTCCGCCCGCGCCGCCGCCCGGCAAGCACCTCACCTTTTGCATGGCGCCCGAGGACATCCTCATCCGCAACTCGTTCCACATGCTCTCCGAGACGGAGAAGAACGCGCGGCGCGAGGAGTACAAGGCCTCCGAGGGCGCCACGCGCCGCAAGTCAAAGGATGGTGGGGCGGCCGGCAAGTCCAAGAAAGCCAAGCAGCCGGGCCCCCTGCCCGTCGTGACTGCCGTCTACGAGCCGGCCGGCTCCTCGAGCAGCGTGATGGCCGTCGTCGCGACGGTCGCGGCGGTGGTCGAGCCTGCGGCCGCGATGGCGGTGGTGGAGGCTGAGCCGCCGGCGGGGGTGGCCGCCCTCCCCGAGGTCGCAACCCCTCCCGACGAGCCGGCAGCGGCGCCGCTCGCCCCGCTGGCGGAGGTGAGCGTCTCCGCTGCGCACTACACGGACTTCACCCAGCCCGCCGTGCCGCACCCCGCCGACGCCGCCGTCGAGCCCACCGCCTTCCTCGCCTCCGCCGCCCTTGCCGCCGAGTAGACACTAGCACGGCTCTTCGCGGCTGGCGGGCATGGGGCGGCGGTTCGTCGAGGGTTAGCGGCGCCGCTCGCCGGCCGACGGCGGCTGGGCAGCGACTTGCGGGCGGAGGCCTCGGGGCGGCGGCGGCGCGGTGCGGTGGGGCTTGGAGCCACGCTGCCGTCGCCGGTTGACAGGCCTGAGGGCAAGGCCGCAAGAAGGGCGGCGGCGGACGACCCGCTCGTCGGAGGGCTTGCGGCGCCGGGCGGCTCTCCGACGCGCGGGGGTGCACATGCTTTCTGGGCGGGTGACGGGCCATCGGCGGCAAGGTCGCGCATGCCGGGACCGCTGATGTGCGATCCCCGGCACACGCTTCCGTGCCCACTCTGGCCATATGCACGCACTTGCCTGCGGTGAGGTCCTCTGCGGTGTCGTCGTCAGTCATGTGCGGCTCATGTCTGTTGTCTCCGGGCCGCGCCGTGCCGGCCGCGCTTTTTTATAGCAATTCCCAAAAACCCGGCGCGCGCGAGAACCGAGTATCTTTGCGTTTTCCTTGGCGTTCCTGCTTTCCCATTTCCCTCGTACGTCGTAGCTCGTATATGCATTGAATCGGGATAATATGCTGACCATGAGAGGGGATCAAAAAAATTGCTTTCGAAGAAAAACGAGCACGCATATTCTCCCCCCTCCATTCTCTCCCCCTTGGCGTGGGCGCGCCTCACCCCCCAGCTCTCGGTATCGCGTACTGCACGAGGCTACCGTGGGCCCCGCCTGCGCGCTGGGGGTTCCCTGCCCTGTCGGGCAGCCTAGCTCTGAACCTGGGGTCGCTACCTAATGCGGGGCGAATGAGTGATGAAGTTAGTGCCTTGGTGTGCCCGTTCCCCGTTATGGCTTCCCCTGGTCTCGCGACCATGAATGAGAGCTCTCACTCCCAGGGTACTCCCGCGTATCTGGCTCCCTTATCCCCCCCCTCTTCCCCCCCCTTTCTCTCTCCGAGATGACCCGTGCTCTACGTGCCTAGGTTTGGTCTTCGGGGAGGGGGGATTGTCGGTGTGTCCTCGCGAGTTTTTCTCGCTGGGCGCCCAACAGCTTCGATTTCCCTCCTTAGCGCCCCGGGTAGAGCGTGGTCTCCCCTGGAGCCTGCCACGCCCGTTCTGTCTAAGCCCAGGGTTCAGCTTTCCAGTTGATCCTTATCGGACTGGTGAGTTCCTTCTAGCTGCCAGTGTGACGCCCCGGCAACATTGGCAGCGGTGCTAACACACTACGCCATCTTTCATTTGAGTTTTAGGAGTGTTTTTTGTTCGGTTTTGGGTGGCTGGACGTGGGTTCGAATCGGGCTCGCGGAGCGTCGCGGGCGCGTGGGTGCGTGGTGCGTGTGCCGTGCAGCAAGCGAGCGAGCGAGCGAGCGAGAGAGAGAGAGAGAGAGCAGGGCTTCTCTCTTTTGTCTCGCCGCGGCTGTTTTCCTCTACCGCGTGTCGGTCGTCATCTCGGGGTCTGTTCGGTGAGGGCATTGGCGGGCGACGGAGTGTAGGTGGGCTCTGGTGGAGCTGTGTATTTGGTCTGTGCAGAGGCGCTTTTTGTCGTGTGCGCGGCACGCGTGCACTGCGGGCGCGCGCGCCTTGAAGATGCCCGTCGGATAGCCGACGCCGGCCGTCTCGTCGGTGCGGGAGCGCTTCGGCGAGGTTGGTTCGCTGCGCGACATTGGGAAGGTGCCCGAAGGCAGGGAGGTTTTGTCCGCCTCGCGGAGCGAGACTTAGAGAAAACCTGCGCGCGTCACGGAAAGACAGAAAGAAAAACAGATAACCTGTGGAGCTGGAGGGAGATGGGAGGGGACGGTGCTCGGTGGA